TGCCTACCACACCATAAGCACACCACACACACACGGATGAAGAGAGGGAGAGAAAGACGGGGCTGGAGGCATGTAGGCACGGCCTCCCTTCTTGGGTCATTTTCTCCACAAGGTGGTCAAGGCTGCTTGAACAGGATCTGGCCTGCTAGGCGTGGCTCCTTCCTTCCCAGGCCTCACCTGCTGCTTCCCCCCTCCCCCCACCACCCCCCCAACAGCTCCCTCCAAAGGACTTGGAGGGGAAGATGACTGGGAATGGGGTGGGGGGGAGGGGGCAAGAAACCACACACACACACACACACACATCCTGGCTGCTGCCAAGCCCTTTTCTTCCCCCGGCGTGTTTTATAACCCAGCATGTACTTTATTCTTTTCCTAAACACTACACTCTGGGTACAGGGCCCAGAGTTGCCATAGAAACACCTTTTAACTCCTGCTCACCCAGAAGTTTCCAAATCCCCCTCTCCCCCTTCCCCCCCCAAGCTGGCTGCAGAAAACGTCACCTGTGGCCTGGGATTTGAAGCTCAGGCCATGGGAGGGCGCTTTACGGGCGCTTCCCAACCGTTCAAAGCAATAACATGTCCTGGGCCATCTTTCTGACCCGGCTCAGCCCCCTGCCTCCGCACAGAGGGATGGCACGCAGGGCCAGGAAAGGAGGGGAAGCTGAACAGGGCTCACCAATGACCGGGCCAAAGAGCTGGCAAGCTCCAGGGGAATGGGCTAGGCTGGGGCGAGATATAAGGAACTCCTTGAGGAAGGAGGGAAAACGGGGAGGGGGGAGCCTCCTACCCACACTCAGAGCCAGAAAGACTCAGAACAAAGCACAAATTTGAGCTGTCCCCTGCTTGCCAGCAGGGTGCTCCCAAAGAAAGCAAAGAGATTAACCCAGGGACCTGGGAATTCAAAGACAAGCCCAGCTCCAGGGACCCACGTCCAGAGCACAGTAGGGCTCTTCTCCAGAAACACAGGAGAGCTGAAGGACTTTGACAGACCCAGCTAGGAGGATCCAACTTCTATTTAATGCACTGGTTTGTGGGGTTTGTTTAGGGGAATTTTTTGGGGGGGAAAGCTTTATCCCTTGGCCACTGTTATCTAAGATACAGAGGGGAGACTTCTTAAGGGAGGCATTGGATTAGACAGATGGAGACAGTGGAGAACAACAAGGGTGCTGGATTTAGGTCACAAGACTTGGGTTTGAATCCTGCCCGTGTTTGTTAATGAACATAGATGATCTTGGAAAAGTTACTTCAACTCTGTTTCCCCATCTGTAAAATGAGACCAGAGGGCTTCAAAGGTCTCTTCCCCTGCTATGTCTATGAGCTCATAAACATCTGGGCCTCAGTTTCTCTATCTGTAAAATAAGGGGGTTGAACTCAATGACCTCGAATTTCCCTTCCAGCTCTAGGATCCTACAAGTCTTGGGTGGCTTCTGATTTCCCTTTAGAGTCTGTTAAAGATCTCTAAAGCAGTGTGATATTGTCATGAGAGTGCTGGACTTTGAGTCAGGAAGATCTGGGTTCAAATCCTGCCTTTGACAACTTAGTACCTCCATGACTCTGGAACACATGAGCCTCAGCTGCAGCCTACATAGATTATGGAAAAACAGCTGACTCTAGCATCAGAAGACCTGGTTTCTAACCCTGCCTCTGGCCCTTACTACCTGTATGACCTTGAGCAAGTCATTTCAACTTGGAGGGGGGGTGGATTTGTCACCTGTAAAAGGAGATGTTGGAGTAGAGGTCCTGTGAGGTCCATTACCACTCTACATCTACCTCGATGGACAATCGTAAAGATCAAAGATAAAGTGCTTTGCAAATCCCTTTAAAGTACTATTATCCAAAAAGCCGACCGACCCTAGCTATTGTCACTGGGGAGTTCAGTTCCTTCCAGGGCGTGGTTTGTTGTCACTGCTGCTGTTTTAAATACATTTCATAAATAGTTTCACAGAAGTCCCAAGCACGCCAGAGCTCTGCATGGGAGGAAGGTAAACAGAGGAGGTGGTCTAGGGCCAAAGAAACCCCCCTGGGAAGCCAGATCCACCTGCTGCCTGTTGTGCCCAAGTGATTACTCCTGTATACTGGCCTCGATTTCTCCTTGGCAGACCTCCCAGGGTCTTTCAGGAGTCCAAAGCAAAGGGCTGGCGGTGGGGAAGTAAACTCCTATGAAATGCCCTCCCCATTCTTAGATCCTAACGGACTCTGAAGCTCTAATTCCCCGATTTCTTCCTCACTAACATCAACGGGGCTTCTCTCGATTTTACAGATATAAACACTGTGGCACCCTCCACCCCGACACAATCTCTCCTCTTATTTTTCAAGGTCTTGGGAGTGGTGCTGAGCTCCTCTGGAAGGGAGGGGGAAGGAAGAGAGTCCCCAGTGGTTTGATTTTCTACACAAAGGAGCTGGTAAATGATTCGGTACCAAGGGACCACAGTGAAAATCCTGGCTCTGCTAACTGCTCTGTGTGACCTTGGAACAAGTCCCTTGCCCTCCCTTGGCCTCAGTTTCCTCTTCTGTAAAATGAATAGGCACAGCTAAATGGCACCCTTCTGTTAACCACCTGCTACAAGACAGTTCTGGAAATATAAAATATTAGTCCCCACCCACAGGGAGTTTACTTTCTACCAGGTGACAAGGAAGAAGCTTCAGAGGCCAGCTGATCCGATCCCCTCATTTTACAGATAGGGAAACTGAGTCCAAGAGGGGTGAAGTGATTTGGCTAAGGTCACATACGATCCTATTCAGCATAAGTCTTATTCCCTGGCATTGGGTACTCAAGCAGCAGCAGCAGCAGCATGGAAATACATTCCTTAGACATACACACACCACAACCCTGGCACAAAGCCTTTCTAACCCCCCCCAAAAAGGGAGCTCTGCCATCCCGAGAGCAATATAAGCATCAGTCTGGGGAGTCCCAAGAGCCCAAGGCTTTCCCAAGCGCCTCCAACGTGGAGCCACCTGGGATGATGTTGACAGCCATTCTTCCAAACCAGAGCTAGCTGGCCAACAGGTCCAACCAGCCGCAAGGTTCCTGCCACCCAATGATCCCCAAGCTCTCCTCTACCACACCCAGCCCACTTGTTAACTACCCTCACAATGCCAACCTCATAGGCAAGGACACAGTGAGGATTTTCTTCCCCATCAGCACTCCTTCAATCTTCCCTCTAACCTGCTGGTTGCTTTGGTCGTCAAACACTTATTAAGGACCTACTATGTGCAAGGGCCCATCCAAAAACACCATAGTCCAAAACAAACTTCTCTCTCCCTTTTCCATCACTCTCCTCCCTTAAACTCAGAGGTCCCTCTACTCTTGTACTCTGGGGGAGAAAAGGACAGGAAAATAATAGAAGCTTTGCCAGCTCCCCAAACCTCTGAATAGCACAGGCTTCTCAACGAGGTTATCCCCAGCACTGGAGTTTTCAGGGCCACTCTGGGAAGCTCCGGATAACTGGTTTTGCTTCCCCGTGCAAGATGCCTCTTTAACCAGGAGAGAATCGCTAATCTGTACCCACCAAGAGACTTGCCCACCCTCCCCCATCCCAAGTCCAGAGCAACATTTTTTTTTTTTAAAGCCACAAACAAATGAAATAGCTTGGATTTCTACAGCACCTAAAAGCATTAACCTTTAAGGGAGAGAAAGGGCAGTCACATCACTTAGACATCAAACAAGCTTGGAAGCTAGGCGGTGCACTAGGATATTGTTATTCTACTCAATTGCTATATGGTGAAACTGAGGCTCAGGGAGTTGACCAGACAAGTGACACCCCCCAAACCTCTGTCCCCCGACTCCCAGGGCTGTTCTCCACCACACCCTACCCCACTCTCCTCATCCCACCACAAATAATGCTGTCCCTGACTTCTCCCAAGTTTGGGTAAGGTGATTTGCCCACGATGAACACCTTTTGCTTGCTATCTACACCCGCAAAAATATTTCTGTCTTTATGTTTGGGGGGATTGGGGGGAGTGGGTAAACATCCATTTGGTAGTTCACATTTCTACCGGGGACCTAACTGTCCTTACCACATCCCCAGCCCAGCAGTCTAGTCACTCTAGAGGTCTGTCTAAAGATTGACACGGAGCAGTGCTCCCTCTCTGGAAGAGGACCACCATTCAAACCCCTAAATGCTGCAAGTTCTCCCCGTTTGCAGGCCACTGTATTTTGCACAGGGCTGGTTCAGTTTCCAGTAAAAAGTCAACCTTCTTATCCCCTCCGCTCCAGGCTCCTACCATTCAAAGTTTTGGAAAACTATGACTCCCGCCGCCCCCCCCCCCCAATTCTTCCTGCAGGGCATTGTAGGAGAGAACTTTCCAGACGGCAGCAGGACCCAGAAGGAATCTCAAGTGCCCTGTGCCACCGGTCAGGGTGGGAAAGGAAACTTGATGAAGTGGGAAAGCAAAAATTTCAGACCTGAAGAGCTCCAGTCTATGGGGGGCGGGGAGGAGGAGGAACAGAAGAGGGAAGGAAGGAAAGAGAGGGGGGAATGAGCCCTTTATGGCCACCTACGACTGTGGTAGGACCCTGACAAAAATCAGACCTCTCCACCATCCCACCACCGAAAGGGGACGTCTCGGGCAAAGCGGGGATATACCCCTTAGTTGCCCACCCCCACATTCTCTTTGCCCCTTGTCCACCCTCCTGCCCTGTACTGCAGCTGAAGAAGGCAGGGAGAAGGTGGGCGCAAGGCAAAAGGGGACATCGAGGCAGAAGTCTGGAGGCAGCCCTAGGTGCCCCCCCCCTCCGCATTTCCCTTCGCCCTCTCCACCCTCCTGCCCCGGGCTGCAGCTGAAGAAGGCAGGGAGAAGGTGGGCGCAAGGCAAAAGGGGACATCGAGGCAGAAGTCTGGAGGCAGCCCTAGGTGCCCCCCCCCCCCGCATTTCCCTTCGCCCTCTCCACCCTCCTGCCCCGGGCTGCAGCTGAAGAAGGCAGGGAGAAGGTGGGGAGATGGGGGCCGGCTGAGAGCGGGAGAGCGGGCAGGGGAAGCCGACTTCGGCGGCGTCTCTTACCGATGTCCGAGTTGCAGAAGGCGTCCTGGGGGTGGCTCGGGGAGCAAGTGCACGCGTCCGCCCCCAGCTCCCGCAGGCTCCAGCTGCTGAGAAGCACCACGAGGCCGAGCCACGGGCTCATCGCGGCGCGCCCGGCTTCCCAACTCGCTGCGGGCTCGGGCGCGGGCCGGGCTCAGGCTGGTCTCCTCCTCCTCTTCCTCCTCCTCCTCCTGTCTCCTGCCTCTCTCTCTCTCCTCCTTTCCTTCCCTGGCTGAGTTGCTCGCAAACTTGCCTCCACCGCTCCCAGGCTGGTGCCCGGCGTCTGTGCAGCCCGCGGGGTGGCGAGTCTCGGGCAGGACGGGACGGTCCGGCCGGGGAGAGCGAGCTCGGGGCCCTAGAGGGACAGAGGGAGCCAGGGGAAGGCTGAGCGCTGCGCGGAGGTGCCAAGACGCCGCCGCCGCGACCAAAACCGCGTCCGTCCCGGAGCGCCGCCGGCCGCCGCCTTATATAGCCCGGGAGGCTCTGCCAGCCCCCCCTCCTGCGGCCCGAGGTCCGCCCCCCCTGGCCAATCGGCGAGCCGCATTACCTCATCGCCCCCCCGCGGAAAAGGGGGCCGCTGGAGAGGGGGCGGGGCCGCCCGGTACGCTTCAGATCCTTTTAGGGAATGCGGGAGTGCGCTGGCTGCCTGGGAGCGACCCAAGAGAGCCCTGCTCTCCCTCCCGGCGTCTCTCCGCGCCTCCCGGGGGGAGCCCCAGCCAGGGGCCCCTCCGGGACGACTGCCCCCTGGAGAATCTCCTCTCCTCTCCTCTCCTCTCCTCTCCTCTCCTCTCTCCGACGCGCCCTCCCTGCGCCGGGCTTCCCCTTTCATCCATCCTGCTGGGCCAGCAGGAGAGGTCGCCCCCCGACGGCGGGTCAGCCCCTAGAAGGACAGGTCGCCCCCAGACTGCTGACCAGGGACGCCCTAGACGTCCATCCCCGGGGATGGGGGGGGCGGGGGAGAGCCAGGCTAGTCGCCCCCGCGCTGCGCACTGCAGAGGGCTAGGGGAGCTGCAGAGAGAGAACCGTCATCTCTCCACCTTCTCCAGGGGGGCTCACCGGAGCAAAGACGAGCACCGCACCGATGGCCTCACCTGTTTCTTTCTGGTGAAGCGGCAGTGGCAGAAATCCATCCGCCCATGGCTGGATCACAAATTGAGAGCTGGAAGGGACCTTAGAGTCCGTTTGGTATAACCTCTTCATTTTATAGGTGAGGAAAAGAAAGATCCAGAAGGTTGTGACCTACCCAAGGTCGCACAGGTAATAAATGGCAGGGTCAGGATTAGAACCCAAGTCATAGCATTATAGATTTAAGGTTGGAAGGGACTTTCGTAGACATCTGGTCCAATACCTTCAATTTAAAGAGCAGGAAACTGACTTATCAATTGATTTCCCATCGCCTCCCCCTCCCCAAAAATAATCAGGTGTCAATATAATTGGTACAGTGAATATACCACTGGATGTGGAGTCGAGAAGACCTGAATTCAAATCCTGCCTCAGATATTTACCACATATGACCCTCGGCAAAACTTAATCTTCTGAAGCCTCAGTCTCCTCATTTGTAAAATGGGGATATGGAGAAAGAAACAGCAAACCACTCCAGTATCTTTGCCAAGAAAACCCCACATGGGGTCCCGAAGAGTCAGACACAAGGGAAACCACTGAACGAAAAATTAGGGATAATAATAACACCTACTTCAAAAGATTGTTGTAAGGACCAAAGAAAGTATATGATGCACTTTGCAAACTTCAAAACTATTTAAATGCTAATCAATCAACTCACACATAGTAAGTATTTACTGCATGCCAAACTCTGTGCTACAAGGACAAAAACTAAACAGTGCCCACCCTCAAGGATACTCCATTGTAAAGGAGAGACGGCACATACCAGATAGGTATATAGCAGTCACGTGCAACCGAGGCACAAAAGAGCCATCCAGAGAGAGAGTGAATTGTGAAGACAGTAAATTTCCAGATGGAAAGGGACCTTAGAGCCCATCTAGTTCAACCCCACCATTTTACAAATGAGGAAACTGAGGCACCAGTGGACACCTCCTCTCCTCCCCTCCCCTTTGCTGGCAGCTCAAATCTAATCAATCAATAAGCTTTTAGTAAGTCCTAATGCTGTCCTTTGCCCTGGTAAAAGCGAACCAGGCCCTGCAGAGACAACAGCATGTATATGGGCAATATATATACCAAGCAGAAACAGTAACCTTGGATTGAGGAACCAGGAAAGGACATCATACTAGGCTCCAAGCCTTCCTTTTAGGATGGATGAGACATTTGATGATCATAGCTATGAAGGAAATATATCTGGTTATGAGAGACTTCATAGATGGACATCTGGAAGAGAGTTTAAAGACCGTCCAGGCCAAGTCTTGTGTTTTACAGATGAGGCTCAGTGTTTTACCCAAGGTAACCCAAGGTTTTACCCAAGGTAATTTGAACTCAGACTTTCTGACCCCATTTCAACATTCTCTCCTGGGTAGTATGCTGTGTTTTAATGAAAATGGATTTTAAACAGGGAAAACAGCTCAAAAACAGGGTAGGGGGCCACATGAAACTAGACTCAAGTCCTCTCTCTTTACCTAAGGAATTTAAAGAGAATTCAGTTCCTAATTACAGCCACCTGTAAATGGCAGGAGACCTAGATTTGGAGTCGGATGACTTGGGTTCCAATACTAGCTCTGTTCTTTAGTATCTGTGTGACCTTAGGCAAGTCATGTTACCTCTATGGGCCACAGTTTCTTCCTATGACAAATGAGGGGATTGGGCTAGTCTTTTAGGGTCCGTTCTAACTCTGACATTCTTTGAGCCCAAATCTGGTATTCACCTAGACCTTAGATCTAGTAAACCAGCCAGGCTCCATTCAGAATGGATAGATTATCGGGGCCCAGCTAATGGGGAAAAATAGACTTTTAGCAAGCTCTCCATCTGACCAAGATGGAAAAAGTCTGTACCTTTCCACTCCCTTGCACCTTTGGGAAATGACACATATTTCTTCAGATGAAGAAATTATTGGAGTAACAACTGCTTCACCTTCCTCCCTCCCTCCAAAGAAAAAGACTCACATTAAAAAAAAAAAAAAGATTTTGATCCTACCACTGAATTATTTATCTGTGTGACCTTGGAGAAATTACCTCACTTCCCTGGGACTCGCTTTCCTCATCTGTACATAGTATCCCTTTGGACTATCCCCCCAACTACTCCCCAGGCTATGGCTACACCAAGTTCTAGAGACTCTGTAGATCTGTACTCTTAAACCTATAGTAGCTCATGAGCCCCCACTGCTATGTTTCCTTTTCAATATTCAGACAGAGGACACATTTAACTAGAAACAAAGGCATTTACTGAAATAACACAGTAAGATTTACGATAGAACGTTACTATCCCCCCCAAAATTTAGGGTATGGTCTCCCCCAAACATATTATTAATAGGGAGTATGAGCAAGAACATAGATCACAGGGGAGTGCCCTACATGAAGTAAACAGCAGGGGATGGTCAATTCATACGTGGGACACTGCAGGGCCCTGATGTCCTCTCATAATGTCCTATGAGCTGTGCTCAGCTCTCTGGGCCTGCTCTCAGCAAGGCTTGTTGCTTCACGGGTCACCCTTAGTCTCTGCAATATCCAGCTTCTTCAGTGCCTCTAGATTTCACCCATCCTTCAAGGCCCAGCTCAGGTCTTGCCTACTCCATGAAGCCTTGCTTCCCATATATCCCTTCCCTCCCAAATTTACCTTGATGAAGGAGATGTTACCCTGTAAATATTTTGAATGTGATAATTTATCGACATGTCATTTCCCCCCAATAGACAAGGGCTGTTTCACTTTTGTCTAACAAAAGTGAATCTAATATAGTGCCCCCATTTCGTTGTTATTGATTAGTCATTTCAGTCACGTTTGACTCTTCGTCATCCCATTTGAGGTTTTCTTGGCAAAGACACTGAAATGGTTTGCCATTTCCTTCTCCGGCTCATTTGACAGATGAGGAAACTGAGGCAAAACTGAGGCCCTGCACATAGTAGACACCTAATCAATACTAGTTGATTGACTGAAAAATTGGTATCTAAATATGATGATGATGATGAGAGAAAGAGTACGATACTCTGGAAAGTATGCCATATTTAGAGTCAAAGACCTTGGGTTCATATCCCTGCTAGCTTAGTGACCTTGGGAAATCACATAATTTCTCTGAGCTTCTGTAACCTCATCTGCAAAATAAGGGGGTTAGTTCTCACTCTGCTTCCAAGGTCCCTTCCGTCTCTGAATCTATGACCCTATGATCTCCAACCCAGAGGTGAGAAGGCCTGAGGAAAAGACAGAAGATCTCCAAAAACAATTTATGTGTATACATATATGTATATATATATTTAAATATGAATATATATAAATTGTTTTTGAAGATCTTCTGTCTATATATGTGTATTTATCATATATTTATGTAGCATTTTTATAGATAAAAACAGCCTTTTTTGGGGAGCCCTCTTTTTTTTCTTGATTTTTTTAATGGAAAAGGGAATAAATGTGTTTCCAGAGTACTTTTTATTTGTTCTCCCCCCCCCCCCAAAGTCACTTCTTATCCAAAGCTTAGCTTAGCACCAGCTGGAATCCAGTAAATTTGCCTTCCTTAGCCAAGTTTATCACTTAATTATTCTCTAGTGAGTTCATGTAGTCTTCTCTCCCCAACTAAATTGGAAACTCTTTGAAGAGAGGAATTAGGGTAGTTGTGAATTCTGTTGTGTTCCCCCATAGGACTCCAAAGAGTATTAGATTAGGTATGCATGTGTATACACTCACATTAGTGTATATATGTACATGTATATATATATACACATATGTACATGCACATATGTATATATACACACATACAGATAGGTGTGTACGTGCATATAATGCATGCTAGAAGGCACAGTGGGTAGAATGCTAGACCTGGAATCAGGAAGACTCATCTTCCTGAGTTCAAATATGGCCTCAGACCCTTATTCTGGACAAGTCACTTAATCCTCTTTGCCTCAGTTTCCTCACTTACTAACTCTCCATGAATAAGTCATCACTGAGCATCTGTTTCTTCATCTGGAAAACAAAGGCAGGAGTAACCTTTCTCATGGGTGTGGAGGGTGAAT